TGTCTTCTAATCCCTTTTTAGATTTTTTTTCTTTTCTCGGTGAAGCTGAAACCGCTCCTCCTGGGCCGCGTCGTTGTTCTTCTGATCTGTCAGTGGGTGGAACCGTTGGTTTAGAAGACGCTTTTCTTGGCCAGGATTAGAGTGTGTTTGGAAAATAAAAATAACCTCCATCTCCTCCTCCACCTCTAACTGGAGCCGAGCTGCTGCGAAAAGTTTCACCAAAAAAAAAAACCCAGAACAAACGTCAGTGAGCTGAAAGTTAGCCAAACATGGGCTAAACCTCAGCCATGAGCAACAGAGTCGAAGAGTTAGCCAGGAAGTAGCTAACGTTCACCTAAATTAGCCCAGAATCTTCACCTGAGAAATTAAAAGATGTTTTTTATTCCACAGCCATGAACAGTATTTGTAGCTTGAATAAATAATAATCCACTGCAGAAACGTGTACTAGTCTGGTTTGGACTAGTTACATCTATACCAGTGGTCTGTGACCAAGGACTGGTCAGCCAGTACCAGCTGTTACTATGGACCGGTACCAAGGTGCTGAGCATTGAAGGATCAGTACATTTTCAAAATAAAACATCTTTTCTATTTTAATTTTTTTATCAGAGTCTGACTGAGGTTTTATTTCAAAATATTCCCAGATTATCCTTCAATAAATAAAGTTAATAGATATGACTGGATTCACTTTGAATAAATTAGTAAAAGTTAAGTTCCTTTGTTCACTGTGTCCCACTGCGGCCCGGTGCCAAATGACCTGTGGACTGGTATCGGTCCACGAACCAGGGGCTGAAAAGTCTTCCATTTACAACCGGCCCTTCAAGATGATGAATTGATGCTGAAAAAAAAAGATCATTTAGCTAAAAGATCCAGCGTTAACCCTAAAAATGTTTTTCCATCATCTTTGACACTGAGTCTAACAGTTAGCCGTGAAGTAGCTACACTTGAGTTAGCCAAAAAGTTATAAAAGAGGAGCAGCATTGAGTTCAAGGAAAAGAAATGTGTTGAACTAAAAGAAACTGTTTTTTCATCACCATGGCAACAACAGAGACACTGTTTTTTCATCACCATGGCAACAACTGAGGCTAAAAGTTATCATCAGTGTTAGCGTTAGCAGCAGTGTTAGCAGCAGCAGTGTTAGCGTTAGGAGCAGCAGTGTTAGCGTTAGCAGCAGCTGACTGTGTGTGTTTCTGCTCTGATTCTCTGGGTTGTTTCTGCTGACGTCCTGCTCAACTTTTATTATTTTCTCTACACAATAAAAATGGACTGAAAGCTGGACCTTTGTGTGTGTGCAGCAGCAGCAGCAGCAGCAGCAGCAGCAGCAGCAGCAGCAGACACAGGTTGAGTCTTTCTTGTGAGGATTAAGAAGCAGCTGAATGAAAATCCTCTGAAGGATTCTCCCAGAGTTCCGTTCCGTCGACCACTCAGGAATTTTCCTAATAGACTTTGGACTGAGAGAAGAAAGAACTGACTTATCTGTCCACACGTCTCACTGTCACTGTGTGTGTGTGTGTGTGTGTGTGTGTGTGTGGTCGGTCCAGGCCACTAACAACTGGGTCATGCTCTCCTCCTGTTTTGCTAACCTTTAGCTCTTTTGTTGACCTTGTATTTAACACATTTAACTACTGTATCTAACGGTGACACATCACCTTTAGCTTCTTCTTTTTCTTCTTTTTCTTCTTTTTCTTCTTTTTCTTCTTTTTCTTCTTCTTCTTTTTCTTCTTCTTCTTTTTCTTCTTTTTCTTCTTTTTCTTCTTTTTTTTCTTTTTCTTCTTCTTCTTTTTCTTCTTTTTCTTCTTCTTCTTTTTCTTCTTCTTCTTTTTCTTCTTCTTCTTCTTCTCTTTCTTCTTCTTCTTCTTCTCTTTCTTCTTCTTCTTCTTCTCTGTATGCTTGTCTAACGTTTAGCAATGGGTGTAACCCGGACGTGGGCAAACTAAGGCCCGGGGACCGGATGCGGCTCGTTAATCCGGCCCACCAAACTTTACCAAATTATATAATTTATTGATATTATCATTATACTTCTGCCTTTTCCCTGCAATACCAACGTTTCCCCAATAGATGGCGTAGAAAAGGCTAAAGGCCTTTTAGCATTTTAGCCTAAGGCTAAAGGTTTGGCTAACATTTAGTTCATTTTCATTCTCTTCAGAAAGAAAAACGAACCCATCTGAACTAAAGAGTCTTCCTCTCGCCCCTCTGCTGCTGTATACTCCTCATATCATATCCCATCATGCCCCTCTTCTCCTCCTCCTCCCCCTCCTCCTCTATCTCCTTCTCTACATCTCTGCTTTCTCTGCTGATTTATTCAGCCGCTCCAGCAGAGAGGAACGATGGGGAGATAAGAAGGAGAGAGAGAGAGAGAGAGAGAGTGTCAGACAGAGAGAGAGAGAGAGATAGAAGGGCGAACGAGGCAGAGAGACCCAGTGACAGGCAGAGACAGAGATGTACAGATAAAAGTTGTGCTGACAGATGACTGATGTTGACGCTGATACGAACAGGCGAGAGAGAGAGAGAGCGAGAGAGAGAGAGAGAGAGAACTTTCTGATGCCTCAAATGTCAAGAGAAACACGCTAACAGTGAACGAGGAGCATGAGAAAATGTAGAAAGACGGAAATTCACTTGATTTAAAATTAAACTTTTTTTTTAATCCATTTTTTTTAAATAATCGTTTTTAAATTTGGGGAAAATAAAATCAATAACTCCAGTTATTGATGATTCGTTTTGACAGTTCTTTGAATTCATTTCCTGAACCAAAGCCCACAGCTGGTCCTCTGCTGCCCCCTGTGGACAGTTTGTGTAAGAGCAGGTCAACATGTGCTGTCGCTGTACTCAATGTAAGGGTCTGGGTCTGGGTCTGGTGTGTGTGTGTGTGTGTGTGTGTGTGTGTGTGTGTGTGCCTCCATCACTAACATCAGCTGTGACCCCCTCCCTCTCTGTCTCTGGGCAGGTGCACCACCCTCCACTACGACACCGACCTCCCCCCCACCTCCATCGTCATCACCTTCCACAACGAGGCCAGGTCCACGCTGCTGCGCACCGTCAGGAGGTGAGTCGTCAGATTAGGACCGGACTGGACCGGACCGGACCGGACCGGACCGGACTGGACTGGACTGGACTGGAGTGGACGATCTCCGTGGGTCCAGTGTTTTACTGGGACGACTTTATATCATCATTAAAACAAACTAATCTGGTTTTAAATGTTTGTTACAACACACAAAAAAAACTTTGACAAAAAGAGAACAAAGAAAACCTACAAACCCAAAAATGTTAGCAAAAACAGCCCAAGGATAAGCTAGGTGAGCTAATGCTAACACTTACAGAACAACACGGCCTGTAAATTGTTTGACAGAAGAGCGTGAGGGTGAACTGTGATTGGCTGCTCTCCAGGCTGGTTTAGGGAACAGGAATGACAGATGGTGTGAGGGTGTGAAGGTCAGGACCATAAATCCAACCCGACTGGACCAGACTGGACCAGACTGGACCAGACTGGACCAGACTGGACCAGACTCCACCCTCTCTTTGCTAACTTTAATCTTAGTCTAACTGTGTGTATTTTTTTGGCTAACCTTTAGTCGTGGTCGATGCCTCTGTGCATGTTGACTACACACACGTCTAAATGTTGGCCGGACGATGTGGGCTACATCTTTTCAGGCTTTAATTGGGCTTTGGTCCATTTTTTTTAGTCCAACTTTGTTGATTTTTTCTCTTTGGACTGGTCTATCAGCTCTGATCCACCACGTCTGGGCCGAGAAACGGATTCTTCTCTCTGTTTTAATCACATGAAGAAAATGTGGCTGAAAACACACACACACACACACACACACACACACACACACACACAGAGTTTTCATTTTGGACAGAGTTCAGCTCATTATAGCAGACAGTCAGTGGGGAGTCCTCACTGTCACAGAGGACAGGTGTGTGTGTGTGTGTGTGTGTGTGTGTGTGTGTGTGTGTGTGTGTTTTCTCCAAGCTCTGCAGTTTTCAAACAATTAAAAGACAATCTGTCTCCGTGGGACGCCTCACTCCCATCAGCTACGCATGTGTGTGTGTGTGTGTGTGTGTGTGTGTGTGAAAACCTCATACATTTTTCCACCGCTGAAAAAAATATGTTTTCAATATTAAAAAAACAGAGCAAATTAAATGATCATTCTAGAAATGTGTAACCGTTAGCTAACCGTTAGCTAATGGTTAGCTAACCGTTAGCTAACTGTTAGCAGGTTTAAAGTGTGTTACTGTCTCCAGTGGTCAGTCAGTGTCACTGAACTGGAGTGAATGACTGTCAGTAGAAACCCTTCAGGCTGCTGGTCTACTACTGCCTCTAGTGGTTTGTTTTTGTCACTAAAATAAATCCAAAATATTAATGAAATTCACAAAATCAAATTAATGACATTTGTCAAAAAACAAAAAAAAATGTTGGTCGTGAGGTCAGTGGAGGAGGCAGCAGTGGTTGAAGAACGTTGGAGTTCTTCTCCTGGAACATCGTCAGATTTGGACCTCGGTTCTGGATCCAGTGAGGTTCTGGATGCAGTGAGGTTCTGGATGCTGTGAGGTTCTGGATGCTGTGAGGTTCTGGATGCTGTGAGGTTCTGGATGCTGTGAGGTTCTGGATGCTGTGAGGTTCTGGATCCAGTGAGGTTCTGGATACAGTGAGGTTCTGGATCCAGTGAGGTTCTGGATGCAGTGAGGTTCTGGATGCGTCAGTGAAGTGACTGGACGTCTGTGTGCACATTCTTCATTCGTTCTTCATTCGTTCTTCATTCTCCTGCACCAAACCCCATGTATAAAACCAGTGATTTAAGCTCCTCTCTGCTGCCTGTGGGTGGCAGCCTGGAGAAGATGAGATCAATTGTTCAGATGGAGGTGTGATTAAATATCGACACGTCTGGGCTCCGTCCTCAAAGGCAGCTCTGAAATGAGACTTATTAAAGTCCAACGTCACTCACCAATCATCTCACCATTATCTCAACCACTCACTGACGCCGTCTTCTCTCTCCGCCCTGGAGTGAAAGCCTTTGAAAGGATTTTTTTTTTTCCTCACTAATATTCCACCCCGTGTGTGGATCAACCCGCGGCTCCACTGCAGTAATAACACATTAATTACTGTGATTTGAGCGTCTTCATAAAGGTGAAAGCCTGTTTTGGCTGAAGGTCAGCTGACCTCACGACGCAGACTGAAACCATCGGCTCTAATCACGACAGTAACCAGGAGTGGAGTCACATGGTCTCCTGACCCTTCTGTGGTCCACGCCCCGGGTGATCAGCCTCTGTCTCTGCTGGACTCAGCAGTCAGCCGGGGTAGAAATGTGGCGACTAGATCAGCACCAGCTCAGCACTTTCTGCTCCAGCCGAGTCGAGGAAAACTGAGTCCGGCTCCTGATCCGCCTGGATTTACGAGGAGGAGCTCATTAGGTGGATTTATTTTCCTGGATTTCCTCCGCAGTCGCACTCTGACTTTTTCTCTCTGCCCGTAAATTTTTTCCTCCTTCACTGTTTGAACACAACATTCAGACAAACGACCTGGATTAGAGGAGATTACAGGAGATTAGAGGAGAGAAAAGGTCCAGAGGAAAACAGTTGATCGAAGTCAACATCCAGCTTTTATTTTGAAAGGACGTTGGTTTAACTCCATCAAATGATCATCCTGTAATTGTTTTAGTGAATGTCTCGAGTTTTTGAAGAAACTCTTTATCTGCATTTTATTATTTCTTTATTCTCTGCCTTCATTTCCTAATCCATGCTCTGTAATCCCTGCTTGTTATTCTCTAACCCTGGATTAATCTCACATCCTTATCCTTAATCTCTAATCCCATGTCCTCTGGTCAATTTTTTTTTCAAGAATTCAAAACCCCTTCTTACTTTTCTCTCTT